CTATTTAATTTTTGCAAAGAAAAGCTTGAAGTCAAAAAGGTCATTAGTGAATGGATTTTTTAATCCAGAAAGAAGAGAAGTTCAAGTTTCGGATGACACGGAAAGGAGTTCAGGAGGTTTTCATTCCATCGGAACGAATTAAAATTTATGCCAAGAATAGAAAATGAGAAATTGTATCTTATTCTTAAAAATAAAGAGTTTTTGCTTTAAAAAGTTTAGATTTATTTCCCTGTCTGATAGACTCTGTCAACCTCACTTTGGTTTTTTGTTTTGTTTTTCATTTTTTGGAAATGCTGCCTGCTCTATTCTATTCTCCTTCTTTGTCTTTGGAAGAGAGAAGGAGTCTTTTCCAGAAATGTTAATGGTTCTTTCCTGAGATGTCTTTTCCTCTCACTTGATATACCTCCCTCGGTAATCTAACTCACACTGGTGACATTTTTATTTCTCTGTTCGGTGGCAATGAGCACCCCATTACTGCCAGCATGGACTGTCTTCCCCCCCCAGTTGTTGAATTCCTGTGACCACTTCATCCTCAACATGTCACCCTAAAGACACCATCCTCCAATCCATTCTCCTTTTTCTTTTTTTCTTTTATCTTGTGAACAGTGTCATGCCTGGGGCTAAACATGGGCAATGTGGCTGGACAAGAAGCAGGTGTAATCATCCCCCAGGTCTGGTGTCAAACCTCACTGGGGGATGGGTCAAGAAACAAAGAAGGTCTAATGTTTGAATGCCAAGGGAACAGAGAGAAAATAAGAACAGGATTTGAAACTGAGGTTCAGAAGACTAAGGAGCAGGAAATAATAAACTGGGTTGGAAAAGAACCTGAAAATAACCTGAGGAAAAGAAACCTGAGGAAAGAACACTATTCTCCTTCTAGAAAAAACTAGAAACTCAGGTATATTTGGGATACAGTCTTCCCTATTCTCTGTAATTTTTTTTTGTAAAAGTAATTGGTAACTAAGAATTGATATGCGTCACTATACTAAAGAAGACTCTAGCTACCACTTTGGGGTGACCTAAGATTAACAATTCTTCAAGACCTTGCTGTGTTATGAAGGTAGCACCTTCAAACAATTCGAGGAGAAAAGGCTTCATGGAGGGCTGGCAATAGAGTTGGGCTGTGTCACTGCTGAGTGTACCACGGTGGGGATCTGTGAGATATAATGCTATCACAGTCGGGGAGGGGACATGAGACAGAGAGGAGACACCAGTGCTTTCTGGACAATTATAAACATGTGTTGATTCTTACACATGAATAAATGTTTGCGTTTAAAAAAAAATAGAGAAAATTACAAATGGTCATTTAGAAAAACTAACACATGAATAAACGTTTGGGTTTAGAAATAGAGAGAGAATTACAAATGGTCATTTAGAAGAACTCAGATTTCAAGAAAAGTATAGGAAACTCAGCATGTTCAATGGTTTATGTCATAGTCTACAGTAGGCTTAACATACATTATTCTAGCCTGTATAAGTTTTAAACCCTTACATTTACATTTAACACTATTCTTCAAAAATATTCCTTTCCACTATGAATTTGAGATTAACACCGAATATTTTAATCTATTTTAAAAGAGAGAGTATGTGTAAATAATATGAAATAAATTTTCTTTCTCATTCAAAGTCTTAAAGCTCAGATGTCTGGAATTAAATAACCCCTGATTCAATTGTTTTGACTTTTTGAAGCTCTCTTGATTTTCTTTTAACTTGCTGCATTAATGCTCTTAGATCTGCAAAAAGAGCTTTTTTTCTCATTCAATTTTTAGAAGGCTATCAGTTGATCTTTAAATTTCTTTTACACCTCAGATTTATGAATCCATTATTCATAAAGATAGTGGCAATACATCACTTATCTAAAAAGTAGCCAAGAACTGATAAGTAAAAAAACCTGTTAGTAATCAAAATGTATGTTCCCACAGGACTCACACATCACTCACGGGCTACATCCTTTTAATTTTAGCAAGTATAATGAGTTTTTATCAGGGCTGGAAAATTTTAGCAGTGGAAAATGGAGACGAAGAGAAACATTGCTCTGAGATATATTTCAGTACTGAGAAGTAATGGGCCCCGGAATAAAACTCAAACTAGTTTAAATGAAAAACTCGGCTTGGGAGAAGAATTATGCCTTTAATTATTTCATCTCTTTGGTCTGACCATATTTTGTTCAAAATATTACTACCACATTTTCTTAAAATTTACACATTTTGATGACTTTGCCTAAGAAATTATCCAAATAAATCTCCATCCTATTATACGTAATTCTTTCAACTTTCTATTACCAATGTCAAATTGCCTAGGATTTTTTTTTTTACTTTTTCTTATTTCATTTTTAATCAAAGCTTAAACTGATTAAAAGCAGTTGAAAGGATTATAATGAACTGCTTCTGCATAGAAACATGAAACTCTAATGGAAATTATTAATCTTGAGTAGCCAGGTTCTTTTCCAAGTGTCTAGCAGAATGCCACAGGTATTCCCAGAGAGGAGATTAACAACTTTTAGGCACTTCATTAACTTTTAAAACTGATCATATTTTAAAGTGAAATTCTCAAACGTTTATAGAGATTGGGGATCTGCAGCAAACAAAGAATATGTGAGCAAAACTGTGGTGAGTTACTACGATATGTAATAAGAAAAGAAGCCCAGGATTTGAGCGTGGGCCTCTTGATAGACGCTGGAGCACATGGTTCTTTTAAAAGAACCATGAGAGCTTAAAGAAAAGGTCCTGTCGGAGTACCCACAGTGGCTTGGCTTACGGTAGTGATGGTGTCCAACTGTGGGGGTGAGCTGCCTGGAAGAAACGGGGAAAATGAATTCTTTCAGAAACTGAGCTTTTCCTCCTGATAGAGGCCAGAGTCCCCACAGGCCTGTCAGAGTGGATGTTCTCATTCTGCTGAAGTGCAAACCTATCTGGGTGGCTTTCATGTGCATCCTTCAAATTATGGGCTTCTCTATTTATTCTACTCTCCAAAGAGGACTCTTTAGTATTAGAAATTCATTCTGAATCACAGCTCCCACATTTCCAGATTTCAGTGGCATTATATCGGGAAATCAGAGCTATCCCCCTCACCGAGACTTCCATCTTCCCAGATAAGAGGTTACCCCTAGGGTTAGAATCAAGTTGAAGCAGCAGACAATAGCTTCCACTGAAATAGCAACTTCACAATTCTCTACACCACAGTCAGCGTAATTCAGTGCACAAAAGTAGGTCAGAAAATTTGTATGGTATGAAATGGTACAATTTCTCCAAAATCTATTTTCCTATTGAAAAAAAAAGCCCAATGATATTGTAAGGTATGTAAATTCTTAGACTCCCCAGTTTTTCCTTTTGGAAAAGTTTTTTTTTTTTCCAATTGCAGAATAAAATACACACAGTGAAACAGAATATATAACTTGGAAATATCAGTTTTGTGCTGACGCTGGCCCACACTGGCTTGTGAAAACTGATTCTGCACATTCCTTCCCCACGCCTCACGCAGTAATGTCACATTGTTAGCTGTCAATGAGCCATAGTGGGGGTGTTTTCACCATGAAAATTGACAACCGTTACAAAGTGGGGCTTGACAGTCAGTTTACTGGCACCACTCAATATAATGAATATTGTCAGAGCAAATCCCTGTGTAAGATGTCATCATATCAACAATGGGGCATCAACCTACTTTGCCAATTAAAACTCTTTAACAGACTGCTAGCTGCTTTTAGAGCAAA